CAGGTCTTATAATCTTTGCTCTCATGTTATAAATGGCAGGAGTTAATTGATCATAAAGGTCAGCACCATAAAATCACAAGAGGAAACTATAATTCCATCTTGAGTCTGTGCTTTTTAAATGACTACTAGCATTTAAAGCCTCAAAGTTAATTTCATATTAAGTTTTAATTAGAATTTGCAGCAAATACATTCACAAATGCAGATTAATATTTTGACCAGTTTATGTATTTGTAGATACGCTTGTGGAAAATATTTCATTAAATTAGAGAAAAACACCCACATCCTTATTTTTCAGTACCTCACTTTCTATATATTACATTCAACATTTATCACATGCATACTAAGGACCTTAGAAGATAACACCTTGGATATTAATTTACTTGACTGTTTTCATTCTCCTAGGCTTCCAAAATCCAAATTTGTCAATCAGTACATATTTATGGGCTTCCCTGGTGGTTCAGCAGTAAAAAAATCCACCTGCCAATGCGGGAGACATGGGTATGATCCCTGGATCAGGAAGATCCCCTGGAGAAAGAAATGGCAACGAGCTCCAGTATTTCTGCCTGGGAAATCCCATGGACAGAGGAGCCTAATGGATATAGCCCATGGGATTGCAAAAGAGTCTAACACAATTTAGCAACTTGACAACAACATATTTATGAAGCATCTATTTTGATGAGGAGATTCACTAATCATTTAAAGAGCCCTCTTCAACATCTCCTTCTAAACTCTCTGTCACTAAGCTAGTACTTTCTAGGTAAGTTAGGGTTGAGTGGCTATCTATATGCAAAATGTTCCAGCTTATCTCCTCCAACTTCAAAATATTCTTTCAGGCACCATTTTCCATCTTCAGTGTTCTCAGAAAAGAACAGAATGTATCCAAAGTTAATTAGTAATCCTCAACTTCCTAACCTAGCTTGTTCCTACTTTTTATAAATCTTGCTTCATCCATCATTTTTCCTGCCCTTCTACCAGCTCATTTTACATGATGCAGATTCTTAACATCACAACCCAATCTTCCACCTCATTCTACTACTTTTAGTGAGCTCCTGTACTGACCAATCAACAGTCTTCATTTGAAAATTTTACTCTCAATTGTACTCCATTGAAACTAGTCTCTTAAGGATGAATAACAAATGATCTCCTAAACTGTAAACCCAATGGCTTTTCTCAAGCTTCTTACTAAACCTGCCATCATTCATATCTTTCATCTAACATTTTTTTCTTAGTCATTCCTAGTATTTTATTTTCCTCACAATCAGTAAATCAATGCATCTGTGTTTATTTGGAAACCACTCACTCTTTTCTTTCTACTTTTTCTAATTCGTCCATTTCACCTGATTAGACACTGCTATTATGTTCTTTAGGTGGAGCATATAAGAATTTTATAAAGGAAGACAGGGAAAAAGGTGAAATTGAAAAGATTTCTTGCTCTAAATTAAAGATTAAAAAGTAGTCAACAGAACGTTGCCTTTAAGACTTTATGTTATGAAGTGAGAAAAAGATTTATATGCTAGATAAGAATCCCCCCCAAAACAGAACCTTGAGTGTGCTTGTTGATACAGTACATGCAATAGCTGTGAACTGGAAATCAGCGATCATTATGACAACCATTTGGAAGACTTTCCACCCTTCTCACTTATTCCTCTGTCCGCCCTCATTGCTCTATTCTTTCAAGACCCACAACATAAGCATCTCCATTAACATGGGTCATCTCTTCTCCATTAGTTACTATCCCATCCTTAATGGATTTGCATACTTCCTTCATCATTTCACTAGAAATGACTGCCAATGCTTAATAAATCTCTTCTGCAAGTCCCAGATCTTCCTTTACAGTTGTCTGCATATCACACCTATTTGTCCAAAAATACCTCAAATTCATCATTCCCCAAACAATTTCCATTATTCCATCTATCTTGAACCCAATCTGATTTTTTTTCCTTGATGTAATTTTTCTTGGTCTTACTGCCTTGTACTGTCATTTGGATTTAGGAAATCTTAAACCGATACTCCACATTTTGTTCTCTTGTTCTATCTCAACCAACCAGTTGATGATTTCTTCAGTTTCTACTTTCATGACTTTCCCTGCATTGAAAGTTTATTCCTCTCACCTGGCCAAAACTTCACTCCCACTTTTCCTCTTCTACTGCAATTGTGTCTTAGCAGAACATATGGACTTCAGTGGAATATCTCTTTGACTTCTGGTTGTGCAGATGTTCCAAACTAATACTCCTAAAACTTAGTTACAATTATAGAACTCTCATGTTCAACGTCCTGCACCAACTTCCCATTCTAGGTTTCTCTACAAGGCCCTCACAATACTCTAGCAAACTTATCCCAACAATATTTTCCCAAACACAACATATGCTGCCCAAACCTAAATATTTATTCATTCTTCCAATATTATATGCACATTTCTTATTTTATGCCTTTGGTAATTCTACAAATCCCTGTTGTTCTGTCTTTTGTTTTTCTTTTTAGTGAAATTATGATCTTACTTTAATGAAATCACTGGTTCAAGGACTCTGCTTAATAGCTCTTTTCATCCCAAGATATGACCTCTCTCTCTGGTTCCTCCACCTTTTCTAAATCTAGCTTGAATATATGGAAGTTCATGGTTTGTGTACTGTTGAAGCATGGCTTGGAGAATTTTGAGCATTACTTTGCTAGTGTGTGAGATGAGTGCAGTTCAGGAGTAGTTCAAACATTTTTTGGCATTGCCTTTCTTTGGGATTGGAATGAAAACTGACCTCTTCCATTCCTGTGGCCACTACTGTTTTCCAAATTTGCTGGCATATTGAGTGCAGCACTTTTACAACCTCATCTTTGAGGATTTGAAATAGCTCAACTGGAATTCGATCACCTCCACTAGCTTTGTTCGTAGTGATGCTTTCTAAGGCCCACTTGACTTCACATTCCAGGATGTCTGGCTCTAGGTGAGTGATCACACCTTTATGATTATCTGGGTCGTGAAGATCTTTTCTGTACAGTTCTTCTGTGTATTCTCGCCACCTCTTCTTAATATCTTCTGCTTCTGTTAGGTCCATACCACTTTTGCCCTTTATCAAGTCCAGCTTTGCATGAGATGTTCCCTTGGTCTCTCTAATTTTCTTAAAGAGATACTAAATATGAAAAGGCAAAATGATAGGATACTGAAAGAGGAACTCCCCAGGTTGCTAGGTGCCCAATATGCTACTGGAGATCAGTGGAGAAATAAGTCCAGAAAGAATGAAGGGATTTTCTTGAAGAGATCCCTAGTCTTTCCCATTCTAATATTTTCATCTGTTTCTTTGCATTGATCAAAGGCAGAGGAATCAGAGATCAAATTGCCAACATCCATTGGATCATCAAAAAAGCAAGAGAGTTCCAGAAAAACATCCATTTCTGCTTTCTTGACTATGCCAAAGCCTTTGTGTTGATCACAACAAACTGTGAAAAATTCTTAAAGAGATGGGAATCCCAGACTACCTGACCTATCTCCTGAGAAATCTGTATGCAGTTCAAGAAGCAATACTTAGAACTGGACATGGATAACAGACTGGTTCCAAATCAGGAAAGGAGTACATCAAGGCTGTATATTTTCACCCTGCTTATTTAACTTATATGCAGAGTACATCATGCGAAATGCCAGGCTGAATGAAACACAAGCTGGAATCAAGATTGCTGGGAGAAGTATCAATAACCTCAGATATGCAGATGAAACCACCCTTATGGCAGAAAATGAAGAAGAACTAAAAAGCCGGCTTAAAATTCAACATTCAGAAAACTAAGATCATGGTATCTGGTCCCATCACTTCATAGCAAATAGATGGAGAAACAATGGAAACAGTGACTTTATTTTCTTGGGCACAAAAATCACTGCAGCCATGAAATTAAAAGACATTTGCTCCTTGGAAGAAAAGCTATGGCCAACCTAGACAGCATATTCAAAAGCAGAGACATTAGTTTGCCAACAAAAGTCCATCTAATCAAAGCTATGGTTTGTCCAGTAGTTCTGTATGGATGTGAGAGTTGGACTATAAAGAAAGCTGAGTGCCAAAGAAGTGATGCTTTAGACCTGTGGTGTTGGAGAAGACTCCTTCTCAAGTCCAAGTCCCTTGGACTGCAAGGAGATGAAATCAGTCCATCCTAAAGGAAATCAGTCCTGAATATTCATTGGAAGGAATGATGGTGAAGCTGAAACTCCAATACTTTGGCCACCTGATGTGAAGAGTGACTCATTGGAAAAGACCCTGATGCTGAGAAAGATTGAAGGCAGGAGGGGAAGGGGATGTCCGAGGATGAGATGGCTGGTTTTCATCGCTGACTCGATGGACATGAGTTTGAGTAAGCTCTGGGAGCTGGTGATGGACAGGGAAGCCTGGTTTGCTGCAATCCATGTGTTCTAGAGAGTCAGACACGACTGAGTGACAGAACCGAACTGATGAACCCCCATGGAGATTTATTTGCATCGCATGGGAAGTACTTATTATTCCACCTTGTATTATTATTGCCTGTGTAATCTTCTCCTGCCTACCCCCATTTCTGGATTGTAAACTCATTGAGAAAAAAAAAAAAAAACAATGCACAGTGTGGTCCTCTCCATCAAAGAAGAGCTCAATAAACACATTTGTTAAATTGGGTTAGCCAAGCAAAGCTTTGCCAACAATGAAGGGAATTCATTTTCATAAGTCCTAACAGACTCAGTGTTTTCTGTACAGATCAGGAGAAGAGGCTGGGAACAATAAAAAGCCAAACCATTCCATTCACTTGCCTAATATAAGCATGCATATACTGGGTAAATTAGACCAGAGGAATTAGTGAAGTGTGTTTAAGCCACCAAGGAAAACATTACTATATTACCACAGCTTTTTTTTACATACTGGAGAGGCCCAAAATAATTAAAGGGGTTTAAGAAGATCTTGCTTTAGCCCCAGAGTGTGAATTATAAATAGATGAATACTGGGTAAATGCTAGTAGTGTGTTCCACTGGCAGAAAATTTCTAATTAAAACAACTTACCTTATAACTGAGATAACCAAGCAGTATTGTTTCAAAGAGACTTATCAATGCCACTAAAACCTAAAATGTAAATTATACCTTAATGAGAAAATGCAACAAAATATATATATTCTGAATATATTATCAATTTATAAATATATGCCTATGTATGTATGTGCATATATGAGTGTGTATATATATCATATATGATATAGGAATTGAAACCATATACAAGGCCCTGTGTCCTTGTCTTTTGAAGTAAAATGCTGACTCAAGAGTTAATGATTGGGAAATGTGAAGATACAGAAACAAAGAAAAGCTGTTGGGCTAAAGAACTGGTAACAATTTAGACTATAATTCTGGCACATAACAGTATCACTGAAATCCCAGTTCCTTGAAAGATACAGATAAAAGCGTGATACATATCCCTAAATTGTTTTTACAGGAAGCAGACTCCCTGTCCAGATGAAAACTGCTGATCACAAGAAAATAGACCCTAGACTGGTTGAAAGCAGAAGGCTGATCATGCTCGAAACTTCACCTTGATGGCAACCAATCCAAGAATTGTCCACGAGCTGATCACACCCTGCTTCTTGAACACTATAAAACTCCTCACTCCAAGATGGGTCACACAGTCTTCAAGGCATTAGCCCACTGTGGCCCACTTTGCCTGGCAAAGCAATTGAAGTTGCTCTTTTCTGCTTCACCCAAAATTCTGTCTCCGTGTTTCTATTTGACTCCAGTGAGCAGAGACCGAGTTTCAGCAACAGCGGTGCTGTTTGACTCTCTTAACTGCTATATACAGGTGGTAGGGAGCAGGCTGTCCCGGGCACTACGGTTTCGTTTTTATAATGTCTAATTCTCCTTAGTAAGTCTTTTAAAATTTACTACCACAAATGTAAGTGTGGGATTAGAATAGTCAGGTGACTGGAATTTGAATGATATGTAAAGACTAGATTTTGTTTGTGTGTGCATGTATTCCTGACACACGCAATCGCATGACCAGCCACACAGCCTCCCTCTCAGTTCACCGGTCAAAAATGGCAGTTCCCTACGGAAAATCAAAGAATACAAGCTTGGAGTTGAGGGATACTTTGCATCCTATCATCCACCTCAAACAAAGGTTAACAGTAACATCCAAGAGAACAGCATCGAAACACGTATATTATCTAGGGTGAAACAGATCACCAGCCCAGGTTGGGTGCATGAGACAAGTGTTCGGGCCTGGTGCACTGGGAAGACCCAGAGGGATTGGGTGGGGAAGTAGGTGGGAGGGATCAGAATGGGGAATACATGTAAAAAAAAATTTAAAAAAAAAAAAAAACAGTAACATCCTTGAACATTAAAGCACACGGTCCAAGATACTTTCAGATTCCGTCTGAACAGACTTCACGAGCAGTCCCCCTTCTGCAGCGGACGCTGGCATCCTGCACTGCCCTAGACGAGTTCTCGCCTTTCTCTCGTCTCTACTCCACATTTCCTTAGCTCAACTCCCAAAGAACAGTGGCTCCAACAGAAAGGACATCCAAATTATTTTGTGTTAAAGACTCCAAGCACTTTGGGAGAGAGGAATAGTAAGCAAGCATCAACATGAAGTATTTAAGATAACAAATATATTTGTTCATAGATTTGTGAAGGTTAAGTCAACCTGTCTGAGAAAAGCAGATACCCTAGAGTTTTAGATTCTGATTCCTGTTTTAATGAAAATTTTGATGTAGGTGAATATTAAAACATAAGGATAATTTAAAAGCATATGAATGCATGACAATATAAGTAAAATAAGTCTGGAAGTGCATACAGTAGCCAGACATTATTAAAATAGAAAAGTTGAACTTTTTAGATTTTCCCCACAAATTTTCTAACTCATGTGTGCCATTCTAAAGGTACACCTTGTTAGGTGACCTGGAAACCATTTTCAGGATGAATTACTCAAAATCTTATTGAAAAATGAGCGTTCTTATTTAAAGATATCACTATTAAGTAAAAACAATTTGAATGATCAAAATATATTTCAAGGCCATATATAATTATTCAGAAAAATACTAACTTACTTTACAAGTGTGCACCTCACTAATGGATAATATAGGAATCTAACTTAGAGATTAAAAAACTGCATTTTTAGTGAAAGTGAAATATTTGAAAAGAGTTATTTGTAAGTTAATGGCACTGCTATGAGATTCACTAAAAAAAAAAAAAAACAAAAAACACAACTTATAAAATAGGAAATATGCAAACACAGCAAAAACATGATTTCATACTAATAAACACAATGAATACATAATAAAAATAATTCATAGTTGCTTATAAAATGTACAGATCTCAGAATCACCCTGATGTTAAATGACAAACCGAACATTTGATTTTAAAGTATTTTAATGTTTGCTTATAAACAGTGAGTCTTAAAGTCTTTCCCTTCCTTCCAGACTCAGCTGTCTTCCAATCTCTAATGCTTTTAATCTTAGGGACTCTACTCTTTGAATAATTTCTGTTTTTGAAAATTAACAGAAACTAAAAAGCATCTGAAGGAAAGAGACAGGAATAGAGGAAATGTGAAGTTGTAAAAATTTTGCTAGGCATGAAATTCAACAGGAAAAGGAACAAAGAACAAGGACTCTAGGAAACACACCGAATATGTGATTCAGAAGCACTGTTCTCTTCACATTTCCTTACTACTTCTTCAGGACCTTTTAGTGTTAGGGCATACTTTTTGTTTTATTTGCAAAATTATCTACTAAGGGACCAAGTTCTTCCCATTGGTAATAAGAGCTATTGGTTCATTTGTTTAGTCATTTAACAATTATTCATCAAGATGCTGCCATGCCCCTGATATTGAGAACAAAAGGCAAACATGGTTAAGAGCTTTTGACTAATTTTTCAAACATGGATGTAACCTAAGAATTTAGGAACACATAAATTAGTTTGGAGAACTTGTTGTGATTTCAAACACTGTTTTACTTAAGCTTTCTGAAGTCTAATCCTGATCATGAGGAAATTCTTAACAAGTAGAATGCAAGGCTCAGGTTAACATAAAGAAATAAAAACTTCAAGATGTGCATTAAGGTTAATTAAATAATAAACAATTTTTAATTGTTTTTAATCTCAATTTTTTAATATCAATAATTTTCTCCCCAGTAATATTGTCCTGTAAAATATGAATACAACTACACATATAGGAATAAAACAAAGTTGTACATAACCTGTAAGCCCCATAAAGGTAGACTTCTGTTCACCCAAAAGATATGAGACCTATGAAAAGAAAGATAAGACATTAGATTTCTTCAAGTGAAAAAAACATTCATTTTCAGATTTTGATAAAAGTTGAAAATATTTAAATGTTGTTAACATAAAAAGACAATAAAATAGAGACAATATGTTAACATCAAAATTAAAATTAGGAAAAAAACCTTTATATTGATTTAATTTTCTTTTTGGTAATATTCATTTCTTTTTCAGGGAAAAAACTCTTTTTGATTTTGTTTTCGGTCTCATACTAATCCAAAGAAAAGACCATGGGCTCTTATTTAAAGAGTGAAACTGCCAGTGGAGAAAAACTTCAAACCGTTTGCTAATCAATACTCCATTGAAAGGTCACTTAAGTGCCTTCAATTACCTCTAGGATTTTATTGTTTTTAAACAATATTTTGGCAGTACAAATTCAACAGTATAAATAATCAGAATAAAGTCAGTAACTCAGGTTGAAGGGGTGGCTCAGACAGTAAATAATTCACTTGCAAAGCAGGAGACCTGGGTTTGATCCCTGGATCAGGAAAGATCCCTGGAAAAGGGAATGGCAACCCACTCCAGTATTCATTCCTGGGAAATCCCAGGGACAGAGGAGACTGGTGGGCTACAGTCCATGGGTCACAAAGAGTTGAACATTACTGGATTGACTAACACTTTCAGATTGTAGAACACATTAATATTTAGATTTGTATTAATATTTAATAAAATATTTAATATACCACCAAAAAAACCCCAAACCTATGACTGAGGTTAGCATAAAACATTATGCAGAACAAGGAGTAATTGTCTTTAAATGTGTCTTAAAAGTACTGTTACTTTTGATTCTAAAAAGTGTTTATATTCTGCAAAGAACATCATATATTTTAATGTCCGACAAGTTACAATTTTTCACTGTTTATACTTTGTCCCTATCTACATAATTTGGTGCACAGCTGATTCAAATACTAGTCATTCCCAGCAACATACTCTACTCAGGAAAAGATGAAAATAGCTATAGTACATTGCCCAAAAAATGCAAACAAAAAAACTACAAACAGAACTAAGCCCACTCACTATAGTGATAAAGTATTTGAGGAATCCCCCAAAAAAAGTGTGTATTTTTAAATCTTTGAATCACTTTATTTTGGGTAATATGTTAAACAAACACAAAGAGCAATAAACTCTTTAAAAATTCCTTGTTTAAAAAAGAACTGCAAAATTTAGAAGACTATTCAAAGAAAATACCTAGTATATTTACTTGCTGCTTGGAAGTAAAGCTATGAAAACTAGATAGCGAATTAAAAAGCAGAGACATCACTTTTCTGACAAAGGTCCATATAGGCAAACCTGTGGTTTTTCCAGTAGTCATATATGGATGTGAAAATTAGACCATAAAAAAGGCAGAGTGCTGAAGAATTGATGCTTTCAAACTGGTGCTGGGGGAGACTCTTGAGAGTCCCTTAGACTGCAAGATCAAACCAGTCAATCCTAAAGGAAATCAACCCTGAATATTCATTGGAAGGGCTGATACTGAAGCTTCAATACTTTGGCCACCTGATGTGAAGAACTGACTCATTGGAAAAGACCCTAATGCTGGAAAACACTGAGGGCAGGAGGAGAAAGGGATGACAGAAGATGAGATCGTTGGATGGCATCATCGACTTATTGGACATGAACTTGAGCAAACTCTGGAAAAAAATTAAGCACAGGAAAGCCTGGTGTGCTGTAGTCCACAAGGTTACAAAGAGTTAGACATGACTTAGCAACTGAATAACAACAACCACCTAGTATATTATTCTTTGTGATTCCAGAATATAACATTATCTGGATGAATGATTTCTTTTGCTCCAAATCAAACCTGCACCATTTCCCACCAAAATAGGCCTTCTCGGCCTTTCACATCTCAGAAAGTGGCACAAAATTTCATTGTGTTTGGTTAGCCAAAGACTTGGGCATCATCTTAGGTGCTTTCCATCCCTCTATCTATAAATACTGAATACGTGAGTCACCAAACCCTTCCAATTCTTTCCACCTAATATCTGTAAAATATATCTACTTCTCTTCATATCTACGGCCAGAACCACCTTAATATAAATGATCATTTTCTTGCAATTGTACTCTTGTAAAAGCCTATAACTGGGACCCTACACTTCCTTTTGCTTTCTATATTTGTTCTCCAAATTTCAACTACACAGATTCCTTCTAAATGCATGTCATATCACATCACTCCACCGGACACTGACACTTTACTTTTGTTAAAATAAAGACCAAAACTCCTAACCTGGCACTCTTAGACTTAGTCAACTGTGACGCACTGTTTCTTATTGCAACCCTTTTCACATGTTCTTCCCTCATCAGAGATCTCTCAGCTCAACCTTCTCTCAGGGTATCTTTCTGGAAACTTCCCCTTGATCAATGCAGCCAAGGAATCTCTTAGGCCAGGTCACTCACCATACCTCTGCCTCCACTCATCTCAGGTGCAACCTTAAATTTGTTTGTAAATGTACCTCTTTAATACTTATATCCTCACTGAACTGCAAGTCCCATAAGATGGAATGTATCTCTTTTACTCACCATTATGGTCCTAATGCCTTCCCAAGTACTGTAGTCTAGGCATTCAATACAGACAAGTAGATGGAGCCAGGAAAGGCAAAATGTGGATGATGGACACAGCGCCACTCTCCTTCCCAGAACACACCTTATTATGTTCTCAGTAACACTTGAAAAATGAGGCCAAAACAAAGTATGCAGGAGTGAAGAGGAATGTCATATATAGTTTTTTTTTTCTTTTTGGTACATAGAAATAATGTTCTGTAAACTACAAAATAAGGAGATAGCAAACTCATAAAATAAATTGGAAAGCATAAAATAAATTATAAGATGATGAAATAAATTGCTAATCATAAGTTTGAGAACATTTTCAATAGGAAATTGGAATGCATACAGATTTACTAAAAGCTAGTTATCTAACTAATGACATTTTTTTTGATCTGACATGTTGTTTTAATAGGTCTTGAAATATCAGAGTACTTAAATTTAAATAAGCCTTTGAAGAAAAAATTTTCTGTACAAGACTGTGTCATATGGAATAAGTTTCATAGTACTTACAAAAACATTTCTACAAAACTCTAATATATAAATTTCAATGTGAAGTGACATCACCAACGGAAAGTTGTCTTTTACATCCATTTACCAGGCATTAAATTGAATTAAATATATAGAAGGAAAATGTACACATACCAGCAAAATGGTAGTGCCCAAACTCTCTTGAAAAAATGCATTTATCATGAAAAAAGAATGTGGGATCTGATCTGCATGTTCCTAGAAAACTACCAAAACGAATGAGAGGTGAAACTAAAACTAGCAGTAGACTCTAATTCCAAATAAGCTTCAATCCCATTGACAAAAAGGCGCTCAGAGGATAGATTGTACAGAAATATTTATTGCAGTATTATATATGGCAGAATAGTAACTGGAATCTACCTAACCAACAAGAGATTTAAATTAACTTTCTCATCATCAACAACAGCAAAAAGGCCATCAACAAGAAAAAAAAAAGTCTGATAAAAATGATGTGTATAACATTATCCTAATTGTATCAACATGAATGTGGTACCTGTATATGTGTATTGATGCAATTTACAAAAGATTGGCAGTCAAAGTACTAAAAATACTTTTTTGTAGGTATTGAGATTTTAGGCAATTTCTACTTCCTTTTCCTCACCCTAAGTATTTTTATTGCAATAATCATGAACCATTTGTACAATAATAAGAGTAAAATAGATTTCACTTTTTAAAACTATAAAAACAGAACAACAAGAACAAACATAAAAACAACCTTTGGAACTTCCCTGGTAGTCCAGTTGCTAAGATTCTGTGCTCCCAATGCAGGGAGATGGGATTCAACCCTTGGTTGGGGAACTAGGTCCCCACATGCCATGGTTAAGACCCAGTGCAGCCAAATAAACAAATCAATATTTTTGAAAGTAAATAAAAATAAAATTTATATTATTTAGCTATTTTAATTTGTCAATTTATTATTATATAAGTAATATTATTTATGTGTAATACATTATGGGCTTCCCAGGTGACTCAGTGGTAAAGTATCCACCTGCCAATGCAGAAAACGTGGGTTCAATCTGTTGGTCAGGAAGATTGCCTGGAGAAGGAAATGGCAACCCACTCCAGTATTCTTGCCTGGGAAATCCCATACACAGTGGAGCCTGGCAGGTTAGAGTGGGTTGCAAAGAGTCAAACATGACTTAGTAACTAAACTACCATCACCATATAATATATAAATAAAAATAATATAAATATTACATGTATTATTTATATGACTTAACTAGGTCTATAGATAAAAATCACATTGAAGAATGATTATGAAAACTGGAAGAACTATATCAAACAATGGAAATAACATTAGTTAGATATGGAAAGTGAATGACATGCAGCCCCAGCCACTCTTGACAGCTCACTTATTTATGGTGAATAAATACATCTCCTAAAGGTAAGGAAACAGCTGCTGAAAATGTCAGAACTGCTTTGGCAGCAGAGGTGGAGGTCGGGGTAAAAATGTTAACTGGAAGAATCAAGCATCTGGTAAACACAGAAAAGTTATAGGGTCACTGTGTGGGGCAGAATTCATATGAAAGACTTGTGGGTCACAGCTCAAGAGGAACTTGGGTTGACAGCGCTCCAAACTCAGTAGGCAAGATTGTATTGTATTAACAAACGTGTAAGACCACTAAATCAAAAAGGAAAATTATGACACTCTCTTAATCATGACAAATCCTAAGAAATGAGTGCTAGGTATGGCCACATTTTAAGGATGGACAAAATCTAACATAAATTTATCATGTGACCAGTATATTACAAAGATTTTCCAATAACTGAATCCTTTCAAAATGGGTATACTTCCCACTGGGCTTCCCAGGTGACTCGGTGAAACATCTGCCTGCCGATGGAGGATATGCGAGTTTGATCCCTAGGTTAGGAAGATCCCCTGAAGAAGGAAATGGCATTCT